GTGGGGATTGTCACAAGAGAGGTTACCGGTGGAAGAGAGACAACTTAGAAGGGATCGTTGGTGGAAATAAGGCGTTGGAAAGGAAAGTCGCAATGTAAATGGGCTAGGATTTGGCGGCTGAAAATGGTTTTAGTGGTCGTCGCCGGTGAATAGCAGTTAGAAATGGTAGAACAAATAAAGAAAAATAAAGAAGAGAGAGAGAGAGAGAGAGAGAGAGAAAAGGAGAGGAGGAACATGGGTGTAAAGAAAGGTTTTCAAAGTTTGGGAATGAAAAGTGTTTTTGGTAAATTTAGATAAAAATAAAAATGTAATTAAAAAAAAAAAACTAAAAACGTGTAAAGAGTTGAAAGAGTGGTGTAAGAGCGTCTGCAATGGTGCACCTTTCTTTCATCAAATTTAAATTTGATGAACAAAGTAAGTTTTGTTGCTCCAATCTTCTCATCTACAACAATTCTAGTTTAGACTCCGACCCGTTTATTGTTTTGGATCCAGAATTCCTTATCTAATTTGGTTGTTCATACCCTTATACATCATATTCTTGATTGAGTTGGTTACTTAGATGTCGTTGTTGTGTTTGGAACAAGTTAGGAGTTCGTTTTTCAAATGAGTCTTTGCCCAGAATTTTCTTTTTATAGTCTGCAAAACTACTGAGAGTTTAATATCAGCGCTCGAGCAACACTTCTTGCACTCGAGTGAACTTTTACAGATCTGAACTTCTTAGAGGGTGTCATTATGTGCTCGAGCGGTCTCACTTATTGTGTCTGGTTGCTCAAGCGGTATTTTGGTCGCTCAAACGATCTGCATGTATATCAGTTTGTAAAACTCACTTTTTGAGTCATTTTCTCATCTCACTCTCTCTCTACATTCCAAAAACTCAGATTTTCTTCCTCTCTCTCTAGAAACTATCTTTAAACCTTAAATACAATATCATCCATTGATCTATGCACCCTAGTCGCTTTGAGAAAAATGAAGAGCATACTGAGAGCTTCCATTTTATCAGAACAAAATTCGTTTCCGGTTTCGTCAAGTTTCAACCCTCGTTCTTCTTTGTCCTTGAGGTAGGGATTTCTCCACACTTTTGTATGATTTTTAACTTGGTTATTTGCTTTTCTAAACAATATTGTGATTTGGGGATTATTAAACAAAAATTTAGGATTTTGGTTTAAAAATCAAAAAAGAGGTTTTCAAATGGGCTCTTGAATATGATTGTGAATTTGTAAATGTGGTTGAGTTGTGATAGAATGGCGGATTTTTATCCTTGAAATTAATTTATAAAGAAAATGGGATTTTACCCTAAAATGTGAATATTTGATTTTGTAAAGAGGAAATAAAAATGATGTTAGGTTTTATGCAATTGAAATGACAATGATGGTAGAGTTGGATATGCATTATCGCTCCCATCTTGAAAATTTGGAAAGTTTATCTTTATTGAAAATTATTTATCTGTTTAGAGATATCTATTTTGGGCAATCAATGAATGATAGCTATGATTGTTGTAGAAATTGCTTGAGAATTAGGAGAATTTAAACTAATTTCTCATTCATTTGCATTGAGCATTGCTGCAAACTTAACACATTGAAAATATATATTGTTTTGAGAAAAATGGGTAAATACCTTGGTGAATCTGGGGGTGTGGTTGTGGTTGTAATAGTGGTATTATTATTGGCATGTGTATCCTTGGTGAAAGTCTAGAAATCCGCGAAATTAGATGTCGAGCCTTCCGGTTAGTATCGGTAAAAATGACGTTGATAGTACTTATATAACCTACTAGCAAACACTTGCCTAGAGATTCTTAGTGCTTGCATCCACTACCTTGTTTTCTGTTGTAAATGAAATGTTTTCATGAATTGTGATATAAACCTGGCATTGCATGGTTTTGGAAAGAGATATAAAATGTTTTGGCATAAGTATTGCATATGAAATTCACCTTATAGTTTTGTTAAGATTCATATATTGTGTTAAAGTATCTCTACTGGCCTTTGGCTCACCCTATGTGGAAAATCATTTTCAGGTGTTGATGATATGCCTCCGCCAAGGTCGTAGCTTGGGAAGACTTGGAGCCAAGAGTTTCTTTTTGTTATTGTTGTAATTATTTTTGTACAAGCCTAGTGTTTAAACTATACTGAGTTAAAACTCACTTTTGTTGTAACCAAGCACTATCTTAGAAATTTTAACCATTAGGGCATTTATTTATCTGTTTAACTATTCTTTCATATCATTAATTTGTGGCACATGTTATAGATTCAGAGTTAGGACTTATGAATGTATAATTGCATGTGTTACCTTTTGTACAATGGAATCATATAAATGGAAGTCAATTATTTCTGCACATGTTGTTATTTAATTAATATCGCGTGATGAATTATGGGTATTATTTTCGGGGTGTTACATCATCAAACCAATATCAAATCCAAAATATCTTAAATTTTTCATCAAATTGAGGATGGCTATACCTTTTATCAATTTACTGTTCATAACCATTAGAGATATAGGGCATACACCATAACCCGGCAACCGGCCGAATGTTCGGCCAATTGGCCCCTCGGTCGACCACCTCATTGCAAAAATCTGTGAAAAAATTACGCTGGCCGGTTGACCGGCTGGATATCCCCCAATCGTCCTTCCAGTCATCGGTCAACTGGTGGTTTGATGAAATTCCAGATTACTCTATTGGAACGCACGATATCAAATGAAGTTTTTACTCAAATTTGATAGGAAAAAAAAAGTAAAACGTTGGAGATTTATGGTTCAACTAGTCTAACTTATTAACCCCTCTGAGAGCATCTCCAAATTTAAATTTGATGAAAGAAAATGTGCAATATTGGAGACGCTCTAATATCTTATAGTATGACAAATATATATATATATAGAGAGAGAGAGAGAGAATAAAATTACATTAAGACCTCTCAATTATCAGCGAATATTATTTTATTCCTTCATTTGTGAGATTCTTCATATTGACTCCTCAATTATAAAAATCGTATAAATATATTCTTTTTTAAAATGATTTAAAAATAATGGAAGTGATATATTTTTATAATTAAAATGGTCGAAATTTAAATTAATAAATAAAAAGAATAGTATACACAAATAGTTTAGAGAGTTTTGCTGTAATTAATCATTGAATATTCTCTCTCGTGCTCATACATAATGAAATAATTATCAGCAATGCAAGATGATTTTTTTTCTTGTACAAACAATTTTGAAGTTTTTTTAGATCAATTAGCTAGTCAATTCTAAATTTTTCTGATCATCTGATCGTTTGGCGATAGCTCTGAAATACTTTTGTAATATACTTTTGGAAAATTTGGCCATCAATCTCTCCTAACTTCCTTTTTTTTATTAAAAAGGAAAAAAAAATTAGTACTTTTAGAACCTCCTCATAATTATAAAGTCTTATATGAATGACAAAATTTATTATTCGAATATTTTATTTAACCATTATACCCTCTCTTTCTTCTATTTTTTGTATAACACGCTCTCTCTCGTCACCAACTCGATGGTTGTTTATCATCTCTACCATTTTCATCGTCTATCGGCATTGCTCATCCTCACAATCGACCGGCAACCACCATTTTTACTGTCAAACCACCACTATCTCAGATTTGATACATATGAACTCATATTTGAGATCAATAACTTTAGATCTGAGATAATAAAAAATAAGAAATATATATAAATAAAAATAAAAAAGAGGAGAGAAATCGAGATATTACAGTGAAAAATCAATAGTTTTTTTGTTTGTTTGCTCATAGATCTAAAAGTAAAATTTGACTCTGCTTCATTCATTTAGTATGTACTCTATTTTTTGTAACAGTAAAATTTTACTCTGATTAATAACATGCTAATCTGCTTAACGACAGTAAAATTTTATTTTGAATCATAGTAAATTTTACTTCCTTTTTTTTCTGATTACAGAGTAAAATTTTACTCTGAAACAAACTGCGAGGATGGCATTACAAGAGAGTGATGTATCATAAACCAGAGTAAAATTTTACTATTCGAAGAACAGAGCATCATGAGAAGAAGAAAAAGAAAGAGAAATAGAAAGATAGAATTTGAAAAAAGAGGATCATAAGAAGAAGAAGAAGAAAAAGAAGAGTGAGTGAGAGAGAGAGAGATGGTGAGTGATACACACACACACCGACACACACACATAGAGAGAGAGAGAGATGGAGAGAGCATAAACCATTAGAACTAGAGAGAGAGAGAGAGAGAGAGTGGAGGATCTCAGATCTCAAGTTTGCGAACCATCGGGAACCGTCATTTTCCAGCGACGGCGACTGTGAATGATCTCAAATCTAAAGTCGTGGATACGACAAGTGACGGTGACAATAAAAACGGTAGAGAAAGAGTTCCATGGAGAGTGGCAGTGGTGCCGGTGGAGAGCAGCGATGGCGCCGATGAAAAGCAACAGTGATAAGAGCGAGACAAAGAAAAAAAAGATTGAGATGAGAGAGAGTGACTATAATCTGATACACACACACGCACATATATATATAAGGGTATTATAATAAAATAAAGAAATTTTATAATACTAGGGGGTTTTGAAATGATCGATATAATTCTTATCCTTTTGAAGGACAAGTTAGACACCAAGGGATCTATCACCAAATCCCCCTATACTTTTTCATTGTCTCTAACATTATGGAACAATTTTTTGTGCAGAAATTCCATTAATAATTTTGGTTTGTAAGAAAATTGTATTTCAATTGATCAGTAAAAAAATAAAAAATTCCCTTGAATCCAATCCCGGTGTGATATATATGTATAAACTTAAATCTAATGTAATGTAATTAGTCACACACTTAAATGAATCGAATTCCCAAATTTTACATTTGAGACATTTCTCTAAATACATGGCATTATTATTTTTCAAAGTATATGTCTACCATTTGAATAATTTACATTCACAACCACAAGGTGACACAACAACATACCTAACCACTCTTAGAATGTTTACCATGATCTTAACAACAGTCACACAGACAAAGAGAAAGAGAGAGAGATTTTAAATTCACCAACCGGTGGTTACATGAAGTAGTTCTCAAAATACTTAGAACCCAAGACACCCCACCTCCAAACAACAAAGACTTACATTTGCCCTGAAACAATTACTCAAACAACAATATTACTACTATCACTACCACCAGCACCACTTCCAAATGACAACGGCACAGCCTCAGACTCTGCCCAGCCGCCAAATCCAGTTCCTCTTCACGGTCGCATTGGCCTCTCTTCTCATCCTTGGAAGCGCGCGAATCATGCTCGACAATCTCAAGAACAACCAGAACCCTTTTCTACGGCTGCTACATCTGACCAAGAGGGATTACAAGGTGGTGAGATTGCCAGTGAATGTATCGGATGATGAAGTGATTGAAGATGGGTGCAATGTGTTTGAAGGGAAATGGGTTTGGGACAATGTTTCATTCCCAGTTTATGGAGAGAGTTGTCCTTACTTGGTTAAACAGGTGACTTGTAGAAGGAATGGGAGGCCTGATTCTTTTTATCAGAATTGGAGGTGGCAGCCTCATGCATGCCAGTTGCCTAGGTAAACGAAAGCTGTGTTTGGATAAAAAATTTGAAGCGAGATCTGTGAAAGGAAAGCGTAGGGGAATGAAAAAGTGAAAAAAAACGAAACAAAAAAAATGTGTACCTTTTATTTGCTTTTGAATTGGGTTTCTCTCTGGTGGACTGGACAGATAAATCTGATTTATAATTTTTAATTTGTAGAGTACTTTTTCTAGATAAATATTCTGGGTATGTAGTATTATTGTTTATTTTTTCTTTTGCTTTTGAATTCCATTTTGTTTTCATGACCTTAGAGTTGCAATTGCACGATTCTGTTGTTTGTATTTGCTATTTTCAATATTTTTAGCATTGGGTTTTTATGTTGTAGGTTGAATGCTTTGAAGTTGTTGGAGGTATTGAGGGACAAAAGGCTTATGTTTGTAGGAGACTCAATACAGAGAGGCATGTTTGAGTCTATGGTCTGTTTGGTTCAATCTGTAATTCCTGAGGGTAAGAAATCCCTTCAGAGAATTCCTCCCAGAAAGATTTTCACAGCCGAGGCACGTCTCCTTTCCTCTCCCTCTCATTCCTACTTCAAAAAATTTCCAAGAAATGAAACCTTTTTTTTAATTTTATTTTAGGATTTCAATGCAACAATTGAGTACTTCTGGGCTCCCTTCATAATTGAATCTAATTCAGATAATGCAATAAATCATACTGTGAGAAAGAGGCTGGTGAGGCTTGATTCTATTGCTAAACATGGCAAACAATGGGAAGGAGTCGACATTCTGGTATTCGAGAGCTACATATGGTGGATGTACAAGCCTCAGATCAATGCAACGTGCGTATACTTAATTTCTGATCATTCCCTGCAATTTTTTTAAAAATTTATTTGCATTTCGTTCACTTTACAGTATTGCCAACACTGCATTCTATGCATTTTTTTACAACAAATTTCTATTGTATGTCATGTTGTTTATTTTTTGTTTAAGAGGTTTCAAGCCCTTCTTAGGTATCAATCTCAACAATTTGTCCCTATAAATCATGTTTTAGAGGTACAATTTCCCAATTAAACCTACTTTGCCTTTTCATTAGGGATGGCAATGGATACCACATATGGTGGATGTACAAGCCTCAGATCAATGCAACGTGCGTATACTTAATTTCTGATCATTCCCTGCAATTTTTTTAAAAATTTATTTGCATTTCGTTCACTTTACAGTATTGCCAACACTGCATTCTATGCATTTTTTTACAACAAATTTCTATTGTATGTCATGTTGTTTATTTTTTGTTTAAGAGGTTTGTAGCCCTTCTTAGGTATCAATCTCAACAATTTGTCCCTATAAATCATGTTTTTAGAGGTACAATTTCCCGATTAAACCTACTTTGCCTTTTCATTACTATGTAATGCTATACAAGTAAAAAAACTATACAAAATTAGATGACAATTATTGAATTTATTACATTATAAAACAAAAAAGACCATCAAAGTGGCTTAAATTTTCAAAAATATCAGTGTCACATTGATTCTCTATAAAAACTTTATAAGAAATAATTTTCCTTCATTTATTGCCCAGAGGACACTAATTTCAATAGGTCTAGAAACACAGAATCAGATGCAGAAATGATATCGACGGACATGATTTTTCAAAAGTAGACCCAACCAAAAATCTTGTAAAATTCTGTCATCTATCTAATTCTGGGTTTAGTTTCTGCATTCCTAAACTTGCTGCTAATTTTACGGGGAGTGTTCTTGGAGTCTTGAACTAACTACATTGCTAAGAAACACTTCCAACACCTTAGTTTCAGTCAGGACTGCTATTTTATCACGATCCAATTTTGTGCTTGATTTCTATAGTCTTAGACATATTGCTAATTTTACAGGGGTGTTCTTGAGTCTTGGACTAATTACATTGTTAAGGAACACTTCCAACAACCCAATTTTGATCGACGCTGCTATTTCATCATATGATTTATAAAACATAAAATTTCAGTGTCTGATTTTTCCTTCTTTCTATGATTATTATTTTTATTTTTTTTCAGATTCGGATCTCCTTACGATGTCAGAGAGTATAATGTAACCACTGCATACAGACTGGCAATGGAAACATGGGCAAACTGGATCGAAACCAGCATCGACCCAAATACTCAGAAAGTCTATTTCATGAGCATGTCTCCAACACATCTATGGTGAGTCTTACACAAAAAATCTCATGGTTAAAATACAAAGGGAAAAAACACAAATTTTACGTGATTGAACACAAATTTGTCTACATTAATGGATGAAAGAGATCGATATGACGAGTTGGGTAATAATAATTCATACCAGTCTTGGAAAAACCAATGAAAAAAACAACTCTATTTAACGAACCTTATGAATTACCCCCTAACATAAGAGGATGATATAGAAGAGAATACAAATAGGAGTGAGTTTAACCTTGCAAAGCGGCTTATCACTTATCTTCATTTGAAAATGAGGAGATCCCACGTCAAATGCAAACACCTAGATGTCTAGTCAACTGTTGCACCTCAATTTGTTTCGAAGAGATCCAAAACAAAGATTTTACATGATTCAGCACAAATTTGTCTATGTCAACAAGCGAATATGACACCATAAAAGGCCCAAAATCTAACACCAATATCCGAGCTTTAAAACAATCATCGTTTCCCTATTCAAAGGTAATGGAGTCTTTAAGCTACAACACTTCCTTGCTTACCCTAGCGCCCTCAATATTTTTTCCATCCCTCCTATCATACATCTCCACAAAACTTCAATTTTGCTCACACCTAGAATTATCAGAAGTTCTGACAAAAACTTAAAAATTCTAATTCCATACAATTAGGAAAAATCCCACACAAATTAGATTCCAAACTCTGCATTCCGACCCAAATACATATATAAATTCTAGAACATAAATAATACACAAACGAAAAATATATACAAAAAATACTCATATAATGATATGATAGACTTGTAAACCTATCACTTTAAAACAAAAATCTATGAAGATGATACTTAGGGCTAGTTTTGCATGTTTAAAAAAATCTAAAAAGTCAAAAAGTCATTATCCTATTTAAGTCACATCATCCTATTTAAGTCACATCACCTCTCTAACACATCACTTCAAACCCAACTCAAACCCAACTCATATTTCATAAAAAGTCAAAAAGTACACTTATTTAGATCATTCCAAACAACCTCTTAATATCAAAATTGCCACTAACACATCATTTTGAGGAATGATTCTATACGAAAATTCTGACGAAATGAGTCATGTAGAATACAAGATACACACTCATTTCACAACAGCATCTTATCAAAATTCATCAATTTTTACTTGTAGGGACTGGGAATGGAAGCCTGGAAGTCATGATGGAAACTGCTTCAATGAGACTCACCCAATCCAAGATCCATCATACTGGGGAACTGGTTCAAATCTTCACATCATGGAGACAGTAAGAGATGTTTTGAGCCAACTGCAAATTGATGTAACATTTTTGAATGTCACCCAATTGTCAGATTACCGGAAAGACGGTCATACCTCGGTTTACGGTGAGCGCAGAGGCAAGCTCCTGACAAAAGAGCAGAGATTGAATCCAAAAACTTTTGCAGATTGTATTCATTGGTGTCTTCCTGGAGTCCCTGATACTTGGAATGAGATTTTGTATGCGCATATATTAAAGGATTATCGATCAAAGAGGAATAAACTTAGTCCTGCTCCATTGTGAGACATTTTTGTAGACTAGTCATATTTTTGACATGGTCAAAGATATAACCATATGTTTCTCCCCCTAAGTTGGTTCAAGGCTAGTGCTAAGCCGGGTTTGGAGGTTCCCTATCGAAAATTGGACCTAGTACTTTTTCTCAATAAAATAAAAAACAAAAACATACACATGTTATTCCACTCTCTAGGTTTGTTCGCAGGGATTCTTTTCTGTGAGAGTTTTGTGTCCCAAAATATGAAGACATGTTTCTCCGCCCTAGGCTGGTTTGAGGCTCAGGTTAAGCTAACTTTGGCGGTTCTCTGTTGAAAGTATTTATAGTACTATTCCTAGAAGTGAAAAAAAAAGCACTTTTCACCTCAATATTGAAGCAAACTAGTGCCCGGCACTTGCCATTTATCATTTTTACTAGTGGTAAGAGAAAATTACTCCATAACTAAAATGACAAATACTAGAATCCCAAACAACTACAGTTGCAAACACGCATATCACATGATAACCAATAGAATGACTTTGGGAAGCGGAGCAGCAACGCCAGTCTGGGGAAAAAAAGGATAAAAGAGAATCAAATCAATATAGCAGACTTAGCATAGAAACAATAATCTTCCCTAAACATGTTGCGGGGTTTCTTGCAATTTATTCAACGAAAGTGCCATTCCATCTTGAAACAGATAAATTATTCTGTTCATAATTTCAACTACCTTATTTTTATCTAATTAAAAGAGAATTTTTGACATAATTATTAACACACTCAGCAGCTTCAGCTTTGTCTCATATATCTGCACGGGCAGAAAGCTGCATAGCCCGTTTAGTTGCATTATATCTACAGAAAGCACAAGTATTTACAGAAGCTCCCATTCAGGTTCACATGATAAATCGCGAGAAGATGATTTCCCCAAGTTGGTGGGTATACAGGGAAAAAGATTCTGTCCTGGTTGCAGGCTGGACTCTATATCAATATCTCCGTATAGAATTGCCAGCTGCTCGTACTCCTTTGTCAACCTCTTTTTCGAAGCAAAAGCATCCTGTAAAATTTTCTAGTGACAGCAAAAACGTAGTTGGGTTAGGCTTTAAAATTCCACAGCATAAAAAATTACTTGTTGGAGGAAAAGAAGAAGAACATTATATCAACATTGTTGGATAAGCACAAATATTGTGTTGGTAATTTCAGTATGAAAAGTAATGCCAAAAAAAAAAAAAAAACAAAACAAAGAAGGTCATCATAAGTCTACCTATATTCCTGTAAAAATGACTGCCTTGGGAACAAAATGTCATATTCCTTTATCTTTTAAAATTATATAATTTGTAATTTTGTTTTCTTAAATAAAATTTTCAATTTGTTTGGAACGTGAACACAAGAAGAATTTATTGCATGTTCTAGCAATGCTTTTCCGTGGTATCAAAGGCAACCACCATGATTGTCTGAACTTATATTTTATATTGGGGTTGGTGCCAAGGGGGATTTGGAATTACCTTGTATGATCTATGTTTTTGTGCTCTACAATAGACAGAATAGAGTAATTTACTGTCCACAATGACACAACTCTCGTCAAGCTTTGCCTTCTCAGACAATTCAATAGTTTCCATTATAGGATCAGCAATGTCGACTCTGCAGTCATCTGCCTCTCCTGTTAAAAAGCATTTACAGATCAGCAATCAGCTAACAGATTTAAATAGCACTGAGCATGCCATCAATATGGCAAAGATATGATATGAACAACTCCAAATTATCCGTAGGCTGAAATGAAGAACATGTCCCTAAACATACTAGGAAGGAAACAAACAAACGGTAACAAACAAGAATTGAAGGCAAACACAGCCCTGGCAGAAGATGTCCAAGCTTTCACCTTAACAACCATACTAGTGTATAAATCGGAAGTATAGATGATGGGCATGAAATGAGGACAATATATAATATCAAATCCATGTCCATAACTAGATAAATTTACCACAATTAGGCCCCATTTGGTATAAGGGACGAAAAATTGAAATGAAAGTAGGAAAGATGGTAAAGTCATTTAGGCCACTTAGCTGGTTGCCTAAGGCCCCCAATTTTATCCTCTTTAATCTTTGTCAAGATTGCCCAACAAAACAAAAACAAAATATATATATATATATATATATATTCCTTATCTAATAACCTAACAATCACATGAA